GACGCTCTGCGTGTACATTGGAATACGTGTACTACGGATTGAATAACGTCGTCCACGATAATGGAAGGCTTTGCCAAACCATGTATCTACAATACCGCACTATCGGTATCGAACACTCGGATCTCTCACGGTACCGTGGTCTTCTCGAAAAGCCAGAAAGAGCGCGAAATCCCACTAATCACAGGATTTAACAACTCGATCGTTCTACGGATTAGGCACGATGGTATAAACTTGGATCTCGCAGCATCTGAGATTTCTGTCGAAAGAGAGAGAGAGAGAGAGAGAGAAGAGAGCGATAGATAAAAAATGTACCTTAATTGTGTAGAAAATAGCTATCGATATATTCTATCGTTTTTAACATCAAAAGTAACGTTGGAATATTTTCTAACAAAGCAATCCTTCCAAAGTAATAATTTTATTCCTACTAAATCTATATTATAATGTAGAAGCAATTAATAGAGGACTTATATAGAGATCTAACTTTATTTTATTCTTATGTTATATAAATGGATTATTTCTGTATTTCAAAAATTATTTTTGATCGTATTTTGTAAAAATATTTGACACAAATGCATTTATACGACCACAATAAAAGTGGTAAAAGAATTAAGATTTTTAGGTTTGCGTACAATTTTAAATTAAAAATTAAAAATTGTTTTTAGTAATTGCATTGTAAATGTAAAAGTATTTAATAAATACATTTATATAACGACAAAAAATGATAAAGAAATTTGATTTTAGGTTTTAGTACGATTTCAAATTGATTCATATTTCTGATAATTATTATTTTAGCAACGTAATTATTTCTCTGTAGGCGCACAATATTATTTAATATTCTAAGCATATCTTTAGAATATTAAATGTACATTTGATATTCTAAGAATATGCTTAAAATATTAAATAATATTATGTGTCTATTGGGTTTGTTGATTTTGACGCTCTAATCGCACAAGTAAACTTGAGATATGTCAAAATTAAGCGTAACAAGGTAGTAGCCAAGAAACTTCTCAGATTTGCCTCGGAGATAAAATGGAAGAAAACAGAGAGGCTCGCGGTCGGTACATGTTCCGTCGTTCCTCCAATTTCCGGCGTTCAGCCGGCAGCCGCGCGATTTTGCGAAACGGCCGCAAAAAATTCCCGACACGACTCCGCACTTTGCCCGAGCGAGACGAATATACCGATTTACGGGAGTCGGGACTGCGGGAATTCCCCGTCGCTTGTGACCGAAGATGGCTGGTGATATACCAGCCAGGGATTTCGTTGAGAAGTTGAAGTACGGAGTGATGGAAAAATAACTCATGTGACATAGATTCTCTTTTCCACATACACACGTTTCGAGAGTTATGTAATCTTATAAAATATCTCTCTTTCTTGAATTAATCTTCTCTAAATAACATTAAAATTACTTTCATAAAAAAACTTATATCTATATTTCATCCAACTTAAAATTACGACGGTGATTTAATAGTAATACTTAAAATTTTCAAACCTTTTGTTTTATTGATTTAAATAAAAAATAGTCAACGTTAATGTTTATCTTTTCTTTCAAGATTCTAATTGTTTTGATAGCAACAATACGGAGTGTCAACAATCTGTAAAGTTAGCTGATGCCCTGCTGGAAAATAAGGAATCGACATTATAATTTAATGGAAACGAAAAAATAAACAAAAGAACATCACTTGGCTGGAGATGATTAAAGATGGCGTGCTTTCGCGGGCTTAAGCGTATTGATTTGCAAGGACTTGTGTGAAAGTCTTACGAATAATGACATTTCCACCCCGGAACGAAATAATGTTTGTGCCGACATCTGCACAGGATTGTAGCAACCGATATTGTCAGGAGTTTCCTGTGAATGTCGCAAGATGGCGAAGGCTGACACGTTTTCCATCCTTCGTATCGTGGGGTGGTTTACCACCCTGTCTTTCTCATTACTCGCAAAAGAAGCTGTTTCCATGTTATGGGCGGGGAAGCGGAAAGGAGTAGGAGATGAGCGGAAGGGAGTGGGCGAAGAGTATCGGTCGATCTTTAGGGAGATTTTCGTTGATTTACAGCGCCATTATCGATGCGGCGCTCGCTCGCGTCAACCGGTTTCTCGGGGCATATGGAGACGCCGTAAAAGGGCTGTAAATCCATTATTTACACGAACATGCGAACCAACGGAGGAAGGTCGCTCTTCGAGGCACCGTGAGTTACGAGACCGACGTTTCTGCGCACCGCGATGCCTCGTAAATATTTATCTTGTGCCAGCCAGAAGCAACACACCAATAAAACTGATTACGCTGTTCGATAAAAACCGTTCGTATATATCGAGAATTGATTTGTTCGTGGCGCTTTTTTCCTAATCTGGATTTCAACTACCTATTTCAACATGAAACATTTGGATTAATTCTCCAATATACATATATATTTTACTTTGATCTTCGATTAATTTAATTTCAATAAAAAGTATTTTTCAAGTTAAAATATACACGTATTTTCAACTAGTGTATTATACATATATAATTTATATTGAAGTTATTATTAGAAATTTATATTCCGTTTCAACATGTATCTTATTTCTGATAAACAATATTTGGAATATGCATTAAGAAATTGATTTACGTCATCCTATTTATGCGTTTCTATTATTAGTCCTATTACACTCTTATGTCTACGCTTATTATTTTCTATTTATAAATGAAAACTTTATGTACATATTTGAAAAACCATCTTACCTCCCTTTCCTGAGGAACGAAAATGCATTTCGTATAGACGGCCTTCATAAACGTTTCGAGCGAGTTACGAGCGTGTGTACTTTTTTATAGCGAAAAATACACCATCGTTCGGGTGGAGGAATGGTTTTCCTTTTATTAGGATATAGCTTCACGCGAAGTGATTTATAGCAGTAGCAGCTCCATTGCACGCGCGCGAACCGCGCGCTCACGTGACGCAAGATGAAAATATCTCCGCGCATGTGATTCGCGATACATCAATTTTATGCAGAACGCATCGATCGCGATCTGCCTTTCAATTTTCATGTAAATTTCGTGGAGATCGCGTGCCCCCGTCGCTTTCCCTTGTTCTCCTGGCGCTTGTTTCGACTCGAGATCGTTATGATGTATAGGACCCCGGAGAGACGCGAGCGTGGACGCGATTGTGCAGCAACTATCGCTGCAGTGCTCCTTATAAAGGAGAAATGAGATAAAATATTTGTCCCCGTCGCTTACAATGTCGCTTCTGTTCCATAAATATCATGATATGTATATAATGTCATTCGATATGCAAGATTCTTGCGTAAAAAGGTGCATATTTATAAAACTTATTTATAGAGGAAAGTTGATCATCTCCATAACATTTAGTAACAGAGTAAAGTTATATTAATGGAAAGAACGATTTTGTGAAAAGGAATGATTTTTCAAAGGAAACTCAAGTAACTCTGGTAAAATGTTATAAAAGTTTTGATATATTTTAACAATTCCAGTTTGAGTCTTCTATATATATAATGATTTTCAGATCTGCATCTAGCTAAATTTTAGATACCTCAATAGAAGCTTTTCATGTATTATTTAGCATTTTAATGAAGCTAAAATAATATTTATTATATTTTTAAATATTTTGTTCTACTTATTTTAAATTCACATTCATTAACTATTCCCCAACATATTCTAGAGGGTCTTAAGTATTACTAAATCGATATTCACATCGTGAGATATATGGGACGAGTTGTCGATGTCAGAAGGGAGGCAAGAAGATTCGGTAGGGAGAATGTCGCGATCGAGTGTCTTGATTTATCGAGATGTATCGAGTACGCGCCAGCCATTCTATCGAGCGTTTCGGAGGAAATAGGAGATACGTTAGTTCGACGAACGGTCGTCGGTGATAATTGAAACCGTTAATTAAATCTCGGGATAAGCGTCGCGGCTAAATGAGTTTTTAGATCGCCGCTTCTCGAAGTCGCCAAGGGATGAAATCTCTGCCATTTCATTCCCGATGTAGCCTACCACGTAAATGATATTTATATCTCTTGAATCTCTTACATCGCTTTATCTCATTCAAGAAACATTATTTGAAATATCTTAAAATATTGGAAAAACTCAAAATACTTTAGCATAACAAACGTAGATTCACTTTTATAATAGCTTTCTTTTAGACAATAGGAATTAATATAACTTCAGAAAAATATTAAGTTTTAAACAATTGAAATGTACAATAATCTGCTCTCTAACTAATAAATATTGATATTTTATATTCCTGACAATCGCGTTTGATCTATCGGTGCTTTATTATCGTATTCAGAGGAGGAATGATTTACTTACAATCAGCGACAAATTCGATATTCAAATGTCAGCAGAAAGTTTGGCAGAACGGATTTTCCGATAAATCTCACAGAAGATTGTCGTCCCAGTCTAATTTGCGGATCGCGTGCTAAAAGGAAACTACGTCGTTCGAAGAATAGGGATGGCGAAGAATTTATAGTTACCCTAATATCGAAAACTCACTGTGTGAATAGTTTTCAAGGGGGATGATATAAATTTTAGGACTAATCCTGTGCTTCCATTTTCACGAACAAACTCTGGCGATAATTTTTCGCCTGATGTAAATCAGAGATCCTCAAGGAGCGTTCCAAAGAACTCGAAAGCTTCTTAAATACAAATAAAAAATTTTACCATCGTTGAAGAGAATAAATTATTGTCGCGAAAGAATAATGCTGTAATGAAGATTTTATCCTTATTTGCTAATTGACGTAAAAAAGAATCTTCGAAAAATAGCTGAAAAATTTGTTAATTAAATAATTAAAGACTTACTGTAACAACGGATTGACGTAGCGGAATATTGGTAAAAATGAATGAGTGACAGAGAGTATTCATTTTCTCAATTTTTACAAAAATGTAGGTTACGGTTGCCATGAGGTTTTCATTTCTAAATGTCAATAACGGAGAGAACACAAATTACATTTGCATAAATATTCAAACATAAATATTTAAACGGTTGTGAGATATTTTATTTCTTTCTCGTTTCAGGTCAGAAAAATCTGAGGAAGTATCCGGTTATGATGTTCATCCACGGTGAAAGCTTTGAATGGAACAGTGGTAATCCTTATGATGGCACTATATTAGCGGCTTACGGCAACATTGTTTTTGTCACAATTAATTTTCGACTTGGTATCCTAGGTAAACAACATAAATTTTTTATCCAATAATAAAATAAGGTTACGAGAATCATAAAATAAAAGGAAGAAGAAAAGCCTGTATAAGTATAAGCCAATGTAGTTGACAATGCGCGAATCATATTTATAAATAATTGTGTACAAAAGTATAAGTACATACAAATTATATACGTCTCGCTTTGAGTTCTCACATTACTAATAAGCTTATTAGTGATGTGAGATAGTAATTAAGTTTTGATTAAATCTTCCATCTACATTCTGTTAACGTGGCTCGTCAGCATCTCTTTAAAGTCTTTTGTACGTATTTATTTGTAGAAGAATTTTAACCTTTCTCAACTTCAATTATTTTCACATGACGACGTTACAGAAAATTCGAAACTTAATTAACATCTCATATTACCAATAAACGCTGAAAAAGATGCTAATCGGAGTCAAAATGCATGCGATTTGTATGTAATTATATTTTGTATGTAATTATTTATAAATATACACAATAATCTTTTATTTCGAAAATTGTTTAAAGCTATTAGAGTCATTAATTTGTCCCCTTACCGTCATCTTCAGTGGATATATTTAACAATGCATATAAAATAAATATACAACACAGTTTCTTGCGTTTTGCTGATTGTTTTATCAATCTTCGTTTCACAAATCGCATTTGTCAAGCAGCGCGACTCCAATAGCTCTTCATATTATATATAATTGAATTTGTGTTCCTAGAATCTATCTATTTGTTATTAATTGTTGAAAGAATCGTGATAGATACAAAGATCGTTGCAACACGATGATTCATCTTTGTTGCTCTTATCTATAAACAATGAAGAGTTGTCGATCGATTCACCAAGCGGAAAAGTACTAACGGCTAATATACTTTAACTGTAAACCGTGTCGAATAAATAACTTCGTTACGGTTTGTCGTTTACCAAGGCTGCTGCCTGCCTCGCAAACTTCCTATCTAAATTTTTATCGCTTCGAGCTTTTCAATATTGGACTTTGCTTTCAAAGAAAGTTTACCGAGGTCACGATACAAGGCAGTAGATTTATCACGTCACCGGAAGTGTAAATGATGCTTTTCACTATATCATCTTAATCACAAACAACTGTTTTAAACTAAAAAAGAAAAGCTGTCTTGTGCACTTGTAAAATTCGCAGAGGTAACATAGATGTAACAAGAAGTTTTATCTTTTGGATTGCTCGATTCAGTTAAAACATTATAAAAATATTCGTATTCATACGGGCGATTTAACAACAATGAGGTCGTGCTAGATTGCGACATGGTACTTTCTGGTATGAAAAAACGTTAAATTATTCCGTGTATTATCCAGGTGTGCACTTTTCTCATTGTTACTTAAAAAAAAAAAGAAAAAAAAAGTATATAACTGATGTAGTAATAGTATATATTTCTCTCCCGTTGCACGAGGGCGGTCATGCGAAAGCGTCATTATTCAAAAAGTTCGTTAAAAACTGCCATCCAGAAGTGTGGTGCATCGCGGCACCTGCAATCCGAAATTGTCGTGTACTGTGGTCGTCCTGAAGGGGTTAACAGCGAAATTCCGGCAATCCCTTCTCGCGAGATGACAGCGACGGCGCGATGCAAATAGACGAGCTCGTGGTGCGCACGTGTACGCGGGTGTGAGTACATTCGGTATATCCGGTAAGTGGAGTGGTTGGCGGAAGAAAAAAAGAGGCGGACGCGAAACCATAATCATAAATTAGGTTAAAGTGCTGGGGAAGCGCTTAGTAACCCCGACCCGGTCTAGGTGGCCGTGGAGTTAGCCCGTGAGGAGCCTGCGGATAGCTTCTACCCGCCCTGCCATGCCGCCACCATGTCCGCCCTGCGCAAAACAGGGGAAAAATATGGTCTCGAGCAGCGCGAAGCGGCTGCCGAGCAAAAACAGCTCTGGCGATCGCGTTACCGCGCGAAAGTGCTTCATGTTTAAGCACGAGGGGGAGGATTTTGCATCTCCGTGGAGCTAATTAATTGGGACACTGAATACATGAGTCCCCGGGGATCTTGAAACCCTGGAATCCCAGTTATTCGAGAGTCTCAATAAGAAACAAAAAAAGAGAGGTGTGTCTCAGAAGCTTTCAGGTGGTTGTCGAGAGGTGGATATTTATGGGATTTATTTTAATGAGCTTTACTTCTTTCTTTCACGGATTCTTGGATTTTCAGTTCTAACAGGTCTTACCGTTGAAAAATTTTAAGACACACCCTTGGACTATCGTTCCTTAATGCGCAAGTTTATAGTCCCTTGACTTTTTCTTAATTAGTTCAAGGAATTCTCATTCGTTATTCGTTTAAGTTTTATGCTTCTAGTGATTGGAAGTATGAAACTTTTAAACAAAAATAACATCGGAAATTTTCTTGAACTAATCTAATTCATAGGTTTTTACATAAATCTCAGGGTTTCAAGGTTTATTCTTAATTTCTTCAGTTTTTCTAAAACGTTTTCCTTTTTCCTTTTTCAATTTTTATAAATAATTAATTTATTGAGATATTTATTCGTGTAGTAAGTGCAAGACTTTTACCGTAGGTTTCCTGAGACCTGGAATTAGAGACGATACAGCAAGCAATTTTGGACTGTTAGATCAAATAGCGGCATTACTTTGGCTAAGGGAAAACATTGCGGAGTTCGGCGGCGACCCTAATAGCGTTACTTTGGTCGGCCACGGAACTGGAGCTATCTTTGCTAATCTACTTCTAATCAGTCCAGTTGCCAACAAAAAAGGTAAATAGGAATAGAAGATTTGTATATTATATTACATTAATACAATCACGTTTTTTTTCTTGTTTCCATAAAGTCTTTCTTTCTTCTGTTGTTTTCTATGATGCAGTTTTCATTTCTTATTTTATCGTCTTATCAATTTTTGCAAGTCGTTTCAAAAAAAGTTTAACATCCACTAGCTTGCAACAATACTCTCTCGCAAGAATCAAAGGACTATGTGCAATCCGAGTTAATCCTTCTCCTCGTTGTAATTGGAAACATTATCCATAGTCACAGGAGCGTACAGTGATCGCATATAGGGATCACGATTTCCGAGTCGGCGAGGGATAATCGTGAGATTAATTGGAGGAATCAAGCTGAGAGAGATAGGCATACGTGCACTCGCATTAAATGCAATACATGTGTACGGTCGAAACAATATTCGATCGATATATGTTTTGGAATAAATGATCTACTGATATTGAGAAAATTTATGGAGTTTGTGATTAAAGTTGAAAGTGAGAACATTTATCATAATAAAATATTGAATAATAACTATTCGAAATATAGTTCCAAGAACTATTTAGATAATTGTTGAATTATTCAGGCGTTTTGCTTTACACATCTCAATTATTGGATATAATCATAATATAACTACTATTAGATCACTATATTACCAGTGAATAGGCGTTTATTCAGATCTCAACTACTTCAATTACTTCCTTCCGAGTTTTCCTCTTTTCTGATTCGTAAGAACTTGCATTGTGATATTTAACCGAGTTTGACAAGGGACTAAGAATCGGTAGTCTACACGTGTTCAATGGCGAGCATACATCGACCACGAGCACTCAAGCACTTTCGAGTACTCGGCGGTGCTCAGCAGTGAGCAGGGTCAGCGAGAACGAGCAAAAGCAAGAAAGAAGATGTCGACCATTTTTCACCCGACCGACTCGCAATGGCGGCCGGGAAAAGGAACTTTTCTCTTCCGGCCGGGCGCACAATGCCACCACGTCCGGCCAATAATTATATTGTGCAATGAAAAATAACCGGACTTAATATTTTACACGTCGAGACAGAAATGCCCGTGCCATGCCGTGGGTTCTCAAAAATATTGGTGCCATTTTATATTAATAGCTGCATTCCTTCCTTCCATCCGCACGTGACGTAAATATAATCGTTTGTTGGACCGCAGTTGGCAAATTAAAAATTCAATATTGTTATTGTCAAGGAAAAAAGTTATTGCATAAGAAATAATTTAAATATCATTCTATAAATGATGATTCTATAAATTCCTTCTTCAATTAGATTCAAGTGTCTTTAAAACTATTGTACGTCAAGTATATTTCCAGATATTGAATTAGAAAAAAATTAATTTTTAATCACTTTATTCTTCTTCTCTACTTAAAATTTGAGAACTGCTGAACTGCAATATTATAAATAGCTAAGTTATTAATCAATGACATCTTTATTTTGTTGATGCAGGATTGTTCAAACGGGCTATTCTGATGTCAGGGTCGGCAATGAGCGCGGACGCCATCGGCAAGGCGCCATTGCAAATTACCAAGCAGGTAAAGAAAGACGCCACTGTATAATAGTCGCCAATAAAAACGCGAGATGAGGATTGATGCGCTTGGATTTCAGTTTCGCGGAATGACAAATTGCTATATGCGGCATCTATTATCATTAATTCCACGATTGACTTAATTTTAGAATTTGAAAGACCTCTCATTTCTCTTTTTTTTTTCCCAAGTTTATAAATATTAGATGTTTAGATGCTTAAAATGTCGAATCTGATTTTGTTGTGAAAAATTTCTAACTCCTCAATTTCAATTTAAAATACTTTTTAAAGCGATTTAGAAATAAATTTTCAGATTATAGAGTGTGGCTCGTCTTCATGAATTATGATATTCGTAATATATAAATGTCTAAAACTTTTGGAATTTTAGATGTTTGAAATCACAACTCTTAAGAAATTCTTAAATTCTTATTCTTTCGTTTTATCTTTTATTTTTTGTTTTCATTATATATATAATTCATAATATTTAGATTTCAACCCCTTTTCTAACATTGATAGGAAAAGGAGGGTAAGATCTTTAAAGTTTGTCGATTTTTCCTAATTTCTGTGATGAGGTAAAAAAACTGATTTATTTTTTTTCACTATAGTCTTAGTTATCATTTGTAAAAATTGCCCTCATATATAGGTAAGATGACTTTTAGTAGTGGATAAAATGACGAAAAGTCAATTTAAGGTAAAAATATACTTTTCAGAGTAAAAAAGATTTATTATGATATGTTTATATTGTTTTAATATATTATAAGAAGTTTTAGAGAAAAATATACACAAAATAAAGCTTTTATATAATTTATGAAAATAAAATTATTGAAACGTTAACATAATTATGTCATTCCTTATATACAAATACTGCAAAATTACAAGCGAATGCATCCAAAACACATTTCTTAATATATTATCTATTTTCGTAGTCGAATTGAATTCAAACTATGAGAGATTGTGTATTATTACCTAAAGTCTTTAATAAGCCTTGAGCATCTGCTTTTCATCTATTATTATCTTTAAAAAATTAACAATTCGTTATTGTATCCTCTTCGTTATCTTACCCCCCTTTCCCCTACATAAGTTTTATATTATAATTTCTAGATCTTCGAATTCTGAATTGTTTGAATTCTGAGTCTCATGTGAATCACTATAAATTTAAAAATTCCGAAATTTAAAAACATTTCTGATGAAAGCCGCCGTTTATCATAGTTTTTACGTGATAACGTATGTTTCACAAACGACGGCGCCGTGTTTCTGCTTCACTCGCGATTTGAATTCGACGGAAAGACATATCGTTGCTCGTCACGGCGAAGAATCGTTACACAGTTACATCGATGCCGAGGGTACAGGGTCGTTGGCCGCGTTCATTGCGCTCGTGAGCAATGGCGGGGATCGTTTTTCAGGTGGCGCACGCTCTCAACTGTCCCACCACCAGCGACAGCGAACTGGCGCTCTGCTTGCGCAACCAGGACGTAGACAGGCTGCTACACGTGAAAATCCACAAGCCGAAATACGTGCCGGCCTACGCGCCGTTGATCGACCGGGCCGTCATCCCTGACAAGCCGCTCAATTTAATGGAGAACGCCCAGCTCTTCGGCAGGTACGATTTGGGATTTTCCTATTGAATAATATAGGAAACTAAAGTGACCTAATAATCCTTATACATGGATGTTAACCTTAATCTCCGGCTCTATTATACAATGTATAAAAAAATAGTAAATTACAAAAACTGAAAAAAAGTTTGCGAGATGGATGGAACTGTGAAAAATATTTATACCGATGACTATTATTGATATTTAATACGATTAATGAATTTTTGGATATGTCTGTTCCCTTAGGTATATAAAAGGATTGAAATTTTTAAAGCAAATCATCTATTTACATTTAACAAATTAAAAATAACAAATTGTATGTTGGTTTTAGGTTTGATCTGATGTACGGTGTAACAGAATCCGAGAAATTTCACATCCTGCCACCAGTTGCTTTGTTACACGGCGTGCTTGATGGACAACGGGATGAAATCCTGCGAGACCATGCCAAAGTAAATTTACTCGTGTGTCGAGTTCGTTTGTCCCAATATGAAGCAATTCTTGTTCAATTTATTTTTCTTCCTTCTTATTGGATTTATCTTGAAACATTTTCTTTCCTATGATTTCAAATTTCCGGTAGTTTTACATTCTTCAATTTCTTCTTCTTCTGTTTTCTTCATCTCCTTAATCCTCAGATTCTCAACTCCAGATTAGAAATTGCTGCATTCCTTTTTTTTTGTTATGGGACTAATTAGTATTTAATTTTGATATATATTTTTATTCAGATTTTTTTTATATGGTGGGGTGTTGACTTGACAGAGGTAAAATATATCTTCAGGCGACGCACGAACTGGAGCCGGAGTTGATCCTGTCGAAAGTGTTGGAACAATATGGCGACTTCTCGAGTGGATTCACGAAAGAGTACGCCACGAAAAATCGAGACATGGTGCTGGAGGCACTCTCCGATAGCGGCACCGTGGCGCCGTTAATAATGACTGCCAATTTGCATTCAAGGGCGTATCCGAAGAGCTACATGTACGTCTTCTCGCATCCGAAAGCTATGCAAGACTACTCTGGCGTAAGTAGGTCTCGACGATACAACGAAGATCGATTATCATGGCTCAGACGCCCCTCGACAAAGCGGGACCCGACATGGAGCGGGAAAAATGTTGCACGTAGCATCAATGGGCGAGGAAAGGATATGTAGAGGAGAAGGGGGGGGAAAAGGATAGTCTGGCGGGGATGATGAGTTAAAGTGCACTTCCTTCAACGCTCCAATTCATGCAGTTTCATGCAACGTTGTTATTCCATGACGCGGAGTGTTGCTCCTGAAAACGGAGGGCATTTTTCATCGCTGCACTTTATCGGTGAATCTGAAATGGGGAATTTACTTTTTCTAATTCTCTTACCGCAAAAGAGAAGAGACAATACAAGAAAGAGAAAAGAAACGGATAGAAAGATATACGCTACCTATGGTTTTCCATAAGAAGCGTAAGAGTGTTGATTGTTAAAGAGAAACAAGCTTGGAAAGATTTCAGAAAAATAGAATTTTCTTTTTTCGACAAAATTTACGAGCAACTCTTTAATTAGTAGATGACACTTCAAGAATTCTCTCTCTATCTTCAATAATAATACTACTTTTAAATAATATAAAGTTTATATAAATTGTTTATTTTAAAATCTAAAATTTTCATTCTAATATATTATACTTGTAATTATTAATATCTCTTATTTCAATTTCTTATTTTTTATTTACTTTTAATTTATTTTTTTTCACAATTAAATTTTTTAATATAATTTATATTTAATCAATACGTTTTTTTTTGTTACAAAATAGAAGTACAAAGACTTAAAAATTTACTAACATATTATTTTATTAAACAAATAATATTTATAAGAAGTTATAAAGTTGTCAAAGTTTGTAGTAATGAAAATAGTAACAGCAACGATTTAAAAAAAAAAATCAAATTAAAGGAAACCAACTCTAAAATCGATAAACTGGCAAAAGCCAGTTAGGGCGAAATTTTTAGGACATTAGACATAGTTAGTGCATTGTATTCATTGTTTCCTTGGTTTCTTAGTTCGGAAGGGACGAGTTGTGACCTAGTGGTGGCCATTGTGTTCGCACAGTTTCGCCGAGATAAAAATCCGAGCTGCGAACCCATTTGGATTTTGGCCAACTATTTTTATCGCCGTTGCGTGCACCGGCAACAACCTCGCCATGCGGTAACCGAGAATATCGCTAAATTGAATGTACCTCCGGGTACAACGTACATCCTCACGTCAACAAGGATATTAGATTTTAAATCTGCAAATAGCGATTCGCAGTGTGCATCATTTCCATGTCAAGTTACGTCAATCCCTCTCTTTTTCTATCTCAATTCCTCTCTGCTCTCTCTTTTACTCTTTTTCTATCCTTCTCTCTCTCTCTTATACACGTACGAGCTCGATGAATTTTAATTTTCACTCGTTCTCGTAAATTCCACCCTTTATTGAACTTTACAAATTGACGTGTTTGTAAATACGCTCACTTTATCGCGCTAAAAATAATTACGATTGCAATAAATCTGAGAACTTGCGTCCAGGAAATTTCATTCGAAAATTGTTGGTAGGATTGACGATGAGAGAGCTTAAACTCGAAATAAACTTTAATTTAGCGGGTAAATTAATTAAAAATAGATTGTTAGCTACAAATATAATATAACACACACATACACATACACACACACACACGCGCGCGCGCGCATATATATAATTCTGGATATCTAAGAAGAAGATATTAAAATAAATTTGAGGATTTAAATATATCATCGAGAGAAACATGTATTTTAACAATTTATAAATTTTAAAAAGTATAAAATATTTTCGAAGCATTTCAAAATTTAAAAAATTTTCTATATCTGAATATTGGATAACCAATTTTTAAATGTTTACCTCTATTTTGTAATAAAAAACATTATTGATTAAATATAAATAAATAAAAATTAGATTAAAAATAAATTAAAGTAAACAAATGTACAAAATAAAGAATTGCAGTAAGAGACATTGATAGTTGGAGACTACATTAAAATGGAAATTTTAGAGGATATATCTAGACAGAGAATAAAAAAGAGATATGGGATACGAGAAATGCTGAAAAGAAGTAACAACCTGAGCTTTGATATTTTTGAGTTATGCGAATGGCATAGAAGTGTCGATAAAATCCGTGCCTCGGTATAAAAGCACATCTAGTGATCTCGTTATATTGCAGCAACAACGTCAACATACAGTGCATGGAGAAGAGTTGCCCTACGTACTGGGTGTCCCATTAGACAACAGCAAGTATAATTTACGAAGTCGATATGACATCAGAGAGTCGCTGTTTTCAGAAGCTATCATGAATTGGTGGTGCAGCTTTGCCTATATCGGGTGAGTTACTAAAAAAAAGCGTTTATAGCAATTAATCTTATATATACGTTTATTGTGACTTATACATTTCGATATTTAGAAATATTAAGTGAATATTTTTAATTAAAAAAGATTTAAAACTTTTGTAATATTCGGCCAAATAAATGTCAACATTTTAATTATGTTATTAATTTAAATTAATTTTTATTTTAATACAGTTTTGTAATTATTAATTAAAGTTTAAAATTATAAATATTAATGATGTAAATATATTTTTATAAAAGTTTTATTAATATGTAGTTTAAAATACATTAATCTTTATTTTAATAATCTTAATCGAATTACCCCGGTCCCTAGTTGAATGCATTAAAAAAATGCATTTTTTTTCATATTAATTATCAGTTTCTCCTTATTATTAAAATATTATTAGGTAGTCAAATGTATGTAGTAACTGATGTAGAATTCATTTTTTCGATAAGTCTCTTAATTTCGTCTATAAAAATTCGAAACCGAAAAATGAGTCTATTAGCCCCGGTCTTCCCTATAATTTGGAAAACGATCGCATTAAAGTTAAATTAAAGTTGGTATTTAAAGTTGACATATAAGCGATGGCAATCGCATAGAAACAATTGTATTTAATAACAAGTGTCGAACTATTGTTGTTGGGCGTTGACGTGAAAATCCGTAGTTCGTAAAGTTGTACTTGGTAACATGTATCCGGAAACGTGATTTTCAATTAACTAAACATTCAAGCGTTTAATTAAACCAGACCTGTAATATATTTTTCCGTTGCATGATTGAATTTTATAAGCATATCTCAATTAAAAAATAAACCATGTAAATAATTTAGAGAAAATTATAAATTAAAAGGTAAATTAAAGGAATAAAATTTAAAAAAATTTATAATGTTTATTTATAAAAATAAATTAGTTAAAAAATAATTATGATTAAATATTTTTTATTATTCAAGAAATATGCGATACTTATCATATTATAATCTATATATTATACTTGGAGAATATGCGTAATTAACAAATAGATGAATGCTTTTAAAATTAATTTTTAAATATTACGTATTTAATATATATATACTTTTATATATATTTATATACTTTTTAATTACAAATACGATTTTAGATATAACCAATTTCAATTCATTTTGACATATTGTTTTGTTTTTAACTGAGTTAAAGGTAGGTATTGTTCTAAACGTGAATTATTTACTTCATTAATAGTTAAACAGAATAAAATGTTAGAGAAATAATATTGGAATGCAATTTTTAATTGCAACATAATTTCATCATTGTAAATATGCGGAAACAAAAGTTTATGGATTCTGCCAGATAAATTTTTCATAAAATTTTTACTACACTAAATGATCAAATCTTTCATCTTTGTGTAATATACATGAATATACATGCATTACACGCGCATTCGAATTTCGGTCTTGTATTGGCTCGGCGCAATTTGACGCTTGTTATGCTGATGCTCGATATTGTCGAATTAACGATCCAGGGAATCGGCCGTTTTAATTTGCGCGATGAAAGCAGATTATTCACAGTTCCGAATTATTTCGATATTTCGTTTTACTCGACAAAACATTTCGCTTTACTCAGTTAAACAAGCCCAATATTCTCACAATATAAAGCCATGCTTTGTTTAAATGGGAAAATACCGAATTTCTAGTTACGTTAAAAATTTTATGTTAAAAATTATTTGCAATTGTGAGATATATTTCTAGAATTTTTAATTACATTAAAAGTTTTAAGTTAAGTATGCGCGAATTAAAATATTGAATCTGTTATACGTTACAATTAACATATATTATCAAATCATTGATATTTTACGATTAGAAGCATCTTCGTTAAAATTTAAAAGAACAAAATTGAACAAATTGAAATTCAAAAATATATTAAATGTAATATATTGCAAAGAATATACTGAATATGTTGAATTACATATAATACTAGTAGTACCAACGTTTTTTATTAAAAAGATCAAGCAAATAAATTACTATATAAAAATAAAGATGATGAAAAACTAAACATTTTGTCAACGTAAAGGACATAATTATTGAAAAATAAAAAAATTCAAAATTTTATCTTTTACACAAAAATATAATATTAATCCAAAAAATAGAAACAGTCAGTAATGATTAAAATTGATGCTTCTGGTGTAAAAATATCAATTAAAAATAAGTTTTACATTTCAATTTTATACTTTAACATTTGTACACGTCATTTTGTTTCTTCCTTCATGACAATTTGTTTCTTACGGATACAATCTCGTAAAACTATATTTTGCATTACAACCACACCATTTTTTGTCAGACGCTTTGAACATATGGCTCGACTAGAACGTACATACCTATGCATTACTACGGTGACAGAACTCAGAGAGAACTGGGTCAGTGCAATTAAGCAAACAAAGGTATTTAGATTTAGCGGTGAGTGTTGCGCGCGTTTGTAAACGCCGCACAGCTGATCGATTATTTTATGCGTTACCGTATCTATCGTAAGTGCGCGTCTCTTTGCCATAATAAACGACGCGCAGCATCTGTCCCGCAGCACTGTCAGTGATAACGAATGACGGGGAAAAACGGTCTTTTTGTTCCACGTTGTGTGAACGTTGCCACGCGTGATCGATCGGATACATCGCGTTCATTCAACCCGTCATTAAAAAATCATTTTCCGGCGTACTAAAACCGTCAATACGCGCAAACGAACTGTATCTTTAAAATTAATAGAGGTCCGAAAAAGTCGATGGACACCAAGTTATCCGTTGGATTACAGTATTGCTATTCAATATTTTTAATACGAGAGCTTATTTTGGATTGTACCATTCAATAAAGAGATTTAAATTTCACGTTTGTTAGCTTTAAATTACAAAACGTCCTTAATATGATAATTCTAAAAGAGCATTCTGGAAATTTTATAAAATGGAATTCTGTAGGGAATCTAACTGCGCAATATCTTTACAATAACAGAAAGAAAACAGTATCGAGTATCCCTGTGGACTATTCTGGATTATCCGATATCTTTTTCTCCTACATCACTTCAATTTCCTGACGGTATTAATCCCAAGCTGCCCTGTACGATCTAACAAAAGTTATCGGGCGTTTCTGCAGCTACATTAATCATTCGTGATTATTTATCAAAGAAATTATTCGAACCCACAGGAATCCGAACGTCGCGAAGCGATATCCCTACCTGACTAACGTGTTCAAGGAATGGGGTCAATATGATATCGAGTGGCCAGAATATGATCCTGTCAATCAAACGTATTTCAATTTAAGTAAGTCAGCAAAAATTTCGGCATTAGCGCATCTCAAGTTGCTTGCGCGAGTGCTAATAAAAAAAGTTTATATTGAGAGACTTGACATTTATTTTTCTATGTCATTTATGCATCGTGTGATCGAATAATGATAAAACAAAATCTATTTTCCCAAGTTTGGTTCGAATTCTATTTAATGGCTTATTTAGCATATTACATGATATCCTCCCCTGCACGCAGCCATACCGCCTAACATAGGTGCGCACTATCGTTCGACGGAGATGCAGTTCTGGAATGAGGACCTGCCCAATCTGCTCAGGCACCCGAATAAAGATATTTCGGGCCCGACACGACCGAGAGGACCGCGACCACAGATTCTTGACTTTGCCGATGGGATTGGCAAATATGCCAACAATACTGCCAACCGGAAGTACGATAGCTACGATACTAGGTCAGTAAGACCAGCGAATTAATTTAACCCTTTGACGTATAAAATTGAATTGAATGTACATAACTATTAAGATAATTTCTCAATTTGGATTTTTAAGATAATAAATCTAATAAAATAATTTCTATATAATTTCTATATTTTTAATTTCTATATATTTTATCTACGTTACATTTCCATTTTTTATCTTGTCGTCACATTGAAAATGATCCAACAGGGATCGAAACGTTTGTTTTTGTTCACTTACTGACCGTCAAATTATATTTTAATTTCATGACATGTTTTATTTCATTTTTTAACTGTTTAATGCAGATTGTTATTTTGTGTTGATTGTTTTAGGCTCGTAGCCCTTTATTCTTGTCATTTATTTTATAATAAAATAATATTTATATGAATCTACAGACGATTTGTAAAATTTACTTTTGGAAAACTTGAAGTAATAATTTTTAAAAGGAATTAACTTGAATTTAAATAATTGGTTGGATTCCACATGTAGTTTCTAAGTACATATATGAATAGGAATTATTACTGTGCTTTTTGTACCTTTATGAAGAGTTATATGGATTATGCAAGACAGGTATACATCTCCGTCTAGCATCACGGATTCTAGCACGGGCAAGACGCCATTTTCAACTTTGGTTACAACGGATGGAAGCGAGAATTCGACAATAGAGCCGAGCACGTTAAGGACCTCGTCGGCTATGATGATGGTGATTGTTTTCTTCGTAGTGTTTATACTGATAAACTTCACAGCCTTTCTATTCATCTATTATAAGAAGCAGAATATGAAGGGAAAGGAGAAATCGTTGAAGAGACGAGGTAGCGAAAAGAAAAACGACTCTGTCAAGAGGTCGAAGACTGATAAACACGAGAACCATTACGGCCAGATAGGCTACAAAAGCGATAGCAAGCCAGATTTGAACGATGTGATAAAGAACGACAAGGCATACGACAACAACTCCAACTTCGGACGCAGATCGAAACTATCAAGGCAGAATTCTAGCAGGAGATTGTGCACAGGTCAGTGAAACTCTAAACTCTAAACTTCTTTTGCATGATAATAATTAATCTTTGATATTCTTTTTGTTTTAAACTAAAATTATGAATAACATTCTATTATAAGTAATGTAGAAATATCAATAAAAGCTTTTATTCTTTAGTTGAAATTGAATTAATTATAAATAATTATATACAGATAATCATATTATAAAGATTGAAGTTTAATATACTTTACTTACTTATAAATTGAAACTCTTTGTCCTTTTAAATTTTAAACAGCTTTATCATTCATGAAACTACTTTATTATGTAATTAATTATTCGAAGATTTCTTTAAAAGATTTCTGCTATCTAGAGAAAACTTATTCTTTAAAATTTTATGATCAAAAATGCCATTTGGAGAATTACACTTTCAAATGAAGTTTAATGTAATTTAATGTGCTTTCGATAAAATAAATAACTTAAACTAATTTATACGTTCTATTAAATTATTCGCCATTTTAATATCATTCTACTATACACCATTCGATGCTCTTATAGGAATCAACGTTTTGAACTCAATTTGTATGCCTTTCCTAATTGCGAAGAGCTGAAGATACTCGTAGAACGCTTACCCTCGCAAATTCGTCGATCGCGGTAAGGGTTGTGCGACCCAGTAATCCAATTAGATGTTCCGCTTGAAGAGTAGCTTTGAGACATGGCCCGTATCACTCAAATCAGGAAATTCAGTTCCCTTTCTCTCTTTCGCTCTCGAATATTTCGTAAGATGTATTGACTCGTGGAAAACGTTGGCAAGTGCTGCTCTACAAAGTTAATTGAACTCGACTTACAGCTCGACTTCGTCTCTCGTTTATTTAACAAGCAATATCTGGTTTGCAAATCGCAATATTGTTTTTTTTACAGCATTAAATTTAAAAAATACTACACAGAAGAAAATACAATTTAGAGGAAATGTTATGTACAGACACATAAAATAAAAGAACTGTTATACCTAGAACCTGTAACATGTGTAAATTGCATATTAAATATTTCACAAAATTTACATTTACAACTCTAATGTTAAATTCTCTTTTAAAAAAGAGAAAAATCCTTTCTGTGAGTTATTAAATAGACTTTTTATTTTCGGAATGCAACGTAATATTTACTATGTACGTACATATCGTTTGTTGGTTCATGAAATGCAGCTGTAACATACGATGTAAAATCGTAAAATTATATCTGAAATATGTTTAGTGACAAATGTGCATTATAGAACATTGTATATGAAATAAACAAATGTAATGTATCATTAAGTAAATATGTGTGGCAAAGTACCTTTTTGCTTGTCGGCATAACGTACAAGATTAAAAGTGATTAATTAGCTCCGGGACGTGAAAGTGCAACCGCTATTATTACTAGTTGTGACCAAAATTGCAAAATTAATGCGTACCTTTCATTTGCGAAATCGTAAAATGGTATTCTATAATCAATAATTCCCAATAATTGGACGCAATAACTTCTCAATTATAATAGTAACATTATCTAATAGTAACATTATCTAATAGTATTGATTTCGAATTTTGCGTAAAATTTACAGAGACATGTGTTGTTACACTAATCCGCATGGTAGTTAATTCTACAATTAAAACATCTATTGTTTATTATTTTAATGTTTAAATGTGTTTTACATCAATATTATAACGCTGATGAAATAAATTTTTAAACAACTTTCTAACGGGCTAAATTTTTAAGTAACGGCTGAATTCGCTACTGTTGCTGTAAAGATGTAACAATGTTAGCGACAGACAAAAAGCAAAAAAGCTCTCCCTACTGAAAAAAAGTAACGGTAACGGTGTTAGAACACATTACTTCTTAATCCTGTTAATAAGATTATCGAAACAATTATATAATAATTGAATAATTTAAACTATGTAAACAACTTTATAATTACAATATGGTCAACAAAGATTTTCGTTATAAACAATAAGAGTCGTAAAAAAGAGGATATAAAGTGCTGGGTGTCTTTGCTTAATTATCTTTGATTTCAAAAATAATATTTATATAACAATCATCTATCATCTATCTGGTTTTCAATCACCGCGGCGAATTTTAATTGTAAAGAATTATGGCGAATGTTTAAATTATTGATGTCAAGCAATTTTTGTCGTATGCTGAAAATGACCAGGTAGATGGTCGAAAATGTTATATATTGTAAATATATTATTTTTGAAATAAAGCATGATTAAACAAAAACATCCAGCACTATGCTCTTTGTTAGGACTCTTAAATTTTATAATTAATAATATAAGGTAAGTTAGTGTTGAACTTGAAGAGTTTCTTATTGTATTTATTTTATTGGTTGTGTAAAAAAATGTTGTCAAAACACTTATGAAATCGATCGGAGTTTTATCTTTTAGTTCTGTTTTGTTTGTATAGATGTTCGCCGAGGTTTTTACGTAAAACGCGGGAAACGTTACAGAAAGAGCATCAGGAGAAACTGACTAAGCAGCAGCAAGAAGAGAAGCAACGTTTAGAGGAAGAAGTATTGAAGGAGAGGAAAGACGAACCGATTTACGATGAGAGCCCGGCGTTGGTTGTGCGCCCTGGAAAAAAGTCGAAATTGCCAAAAATTTCTGTGGCTATTGACGCCACGCCAGCGACCAGAACAGAATCCATTCTGAATCAAGTGCCAATCGAGTTAACAAAGAGTATCGAAATAGTTAATGAGCTAAGTCCACAGCTGATGACTCCTGAAGTGGTCGTCATAGAGCATCATCATTCTAGGAGCGATCCTTTGCCGATGGAGAACGTTTTAAAGACAATGAAGCCGAATTTCTCCACTCCCAGAATCTACGAGTCGGATTCCGGAAGCGCGAGCAGTCTCTACGCCAAGATTAACCCTAAACTGAAGTCTCGTTTGCCTCGTCCTGGTCCGGGAACAAATATCGAAGTGTCCTTACCTGAACAATCGAAATACGAAGATCCTCACGACGAAGAGATCTACATAAAAACTGGACCAGTCTTAACGACTTTTGGTACAAGTGATGTGAATGTCACGTGTCGGGAACCGACGATGGAAAGAGAATGCATCAGTCCTGAGGAGGCCTTAAAGACAATAAAACGTCGAAATTATCCCAAAGTACTGCCAGATATCGAGAAGAGACGATCACTTCCGGCGCCTAGTAGTCTCTTTGTATCGAAACAGTACGCCAATTCGTTACAAGACTATAAGAGTGGTAATCGTGTGAACTTATTTTCGAATCTACCACCGTTACCACCTCCGAGAATATTTGGAGCCTCCAAAAGCCTAGAAAAAAACGGTTTCTTCGCAGAAGAAAACGAAAGTCAAATCGAAGGTGAGCCGATGACAACAAATCTGCATGTGGGTCCGTTACTAAAAAGGCCAGACACCGGCAGAAATAATTCCGATCCTAACATTATTGATTCCTTGGAAGGAAATAGAAACGTCCAGGCTGGCGGAAGTGTGGATGCTATTTATGCTAACCCAAAGTGCCCGCTTCATGGAAGTCAATATCCCTTCTCACCGACCTCGCAGAGTGTCGATGGCGATCTCGGCAAGTCTTCCGGGCTTTTGGACGTGGGCAACCCAAATTGGTACAAACCGTGCGAATCGTCAGGCATAATGACATCGACCACATCGGAACCGCAAATCGTGATCAGCAAGGACGAGAGAAATGCCATTGGCGCTGTGTTGCCCACGGTAGAACCAAAGATTGTGATCACGCCAAGAGTCAATCAATGTCAAGTCAATCGACAACCAAGTCCAACACCGCGTTCTGAGGATAAGATCGAGCACGAAATAAAGACGATTGATCCAGTGCGAAACGGAGGATCATCGGAAAGTTCAAATACTTCTGGTGGTTCGATGATTTCAAGAGAAACGGAAAAGAGGGAGCCGCGGATAATCATCACGGCACGGGAACCGAAAAATTGTGCCCCGGTGGGTAGTCTGAAACAACCGAAGATCATCATAAAGCCAACAGCGACTCTACCGAGGAACAGGGATCAGAGGAATATACCGAAGGTGTCAGCCATACCGTCGCCAGAACAGCAGAATTGTCAGAACAGCGAGCGAGATAGGGCTCTGGAACAAAGGGAAAAGCCGTCCCTGAGGGAGAAGCCAAAGGTTACGAGGATTCCGTCGTTTTCACGCAGGAGGGAAGAGCCTGGTATTGAAAAGCCGTCGTACATAGAGAAGACAGAAATCGCGCCGAGAGTGGAGGCGCCGGCCAGTAAAATCACAAACGCGCCATCGACATTCGACGCCAAGTCAGGCATACCGACGCCAACGACAACGATGATGCCGAAGAGCGAGAAGACCTCCAGCACGGACTCGTCGTCCGCCAGCAACGGGAATTCCAGTAATTCGAATACCGGTACGATCAAACGGAAGCCAGCGAACAAGAAATAATTGGTGGGAGCCAATTCGAGAGCCACGTGTTATATCCCGTTCTATTTCGCAAACGCGTAGATGGAATGCAGATGGGTCTCTACCATTCCGACCAAGTGTCGATGCAGTCCTGTTGCCGCCCAATCTCTTCCACGAAACATTCGCGAGTGTGTGCATATTTGCATGTAACGGTAATGAAATTAACACAACAACTGTTCTTTTTGCGTTTAAATTACGTTTTAAATTGTTAAAAAATTTTTTTTCAATCAATTTTTATTTATATTAAATCCATCAAGATTATTCTTTTTAGAATTAATATTATTTATTATTATTCTATATATAGAATATCTAGTTTCACGTTGTTAAATAACGTGTTAAACAACATTTTAGCAACGCTGGCGCATTTCGTCCAAGTATAACTTTCTTTATTATCATTATTATATATTAATTGTATCATATACTATTTTTCTATGACTAATTAGAATTATAGACACAGATAGAAGATAGACGAAATAATTTGAACACTTATGGAAAGTATACTATTTATTTTACTACTTGCTTTATTAATAAATAGATGACCCATCATTTATATTACATATTTTATCTTTGTTGGAATAGATTACGCAATGCTTGAATAGTTATAATGGAACGTTGTACTATTCTTTTAATAGATTTTTCAATCTTTTAATTGCTTATATAAATGATATTGAAAAAAGAAATTTCCTTCTCATCCTATTTTCTAAAATTGCCCTTTGTTTTTCAAAACTTCAACATCTTTCCTGGCCAATACAATTGTCTAATTTAAATATTATCGAATTATATTTATAGTTCTGAAATGAGAAGAGATTTCCTTTCAGTATCTTTTAAGTAACTAGAGAATGTTCTATTAAAGAAATCACTATTCAAACATGACTCTATTCTACAAAGATAGAATCTGTATTAGAATCTGTATTGATTAATAGTGACTCAACTTCTTATTAATAAAACAAGTAGATGGTTTATTTCCCGGATGTTCACATTATTTTGCTTATCTTCTATAATCCAATTGTACATCATGTAAATAATGCCGTGAATGTTTAAGACTTTAAACAGCGTGACAATATTTTTAAGATTTGAATGAAGTGAGGTACGTATATGTCCATATGAAATATTAAAATTGCTTTCGAGCGTTGTCGATCGTTTGAACGATTTAAATCAGTTAAACATGATCGATTAGACGTCGTGAGTTAGATGTTAATAATTTTCAAGGCATCCGCTCTTTTGTACGCCTATAACTTCATACGATGAAAAATAAACGTTTTTCGTACTTTTTCAACAGAAAATTCGAAATGAGAATCTATCCTATCGACAATTTATCGTGTCTTGCCCCCGTTTTCATATGTATACTGCACCGTGTATCCTCTGACGTTACGTACGTTCCGCAAACTTTGTTATTAAGTGAAGCAGGTCTATAAGTCGCGCAGATGCAGGGAGGTACAGCACGACAAAGTGGTTGGCGAGTTCTCACTTATATTACCGGTGGATCGAATTGATTTTCAAAGTTCGCCCGATAATGGGATTCTCCTCGTCTCTAACCGTCGCCGTACGGAAAGGAAAAGGCCATTTTCACGTTAACCCTCCTACCCTTCTGCAATCAGTCTGTCTCTCTCTCTCTCTCTCTCTCTTGCCTCTATCTCTTTCACCCTCCTTTTCTCGTGTTTTCGTTTCATCCCGTTCTACGTCATGCGATCCGTTCGAAAGCGTTACCATGATCACAGTTCAAGAAGCGAAAAAAAGACGAGTGTTTTTGATGGGACTTTGTGAATTTTGACAAAATTGAGTTTCTAAAATGTGACATTCAATGGGCGCACAGCGACGATTAAAATATTTTTTAGTTAAATATTCAAAATAGATGTTTCAAAATAGAAACAGATAATAAAATAATTTTTGTAATTTTATTGTTAAGAAAAAGTCTTTTAGGTAGATCGAAATTTTCTCTATAAGTTATTTAACTTAATTACACATTCGCTGATCTCATGGTTTGTATGTATGAGCAAAGTTCATCAGTTTAGTATCAGTTTGCCGAACTGCAAGACACGAGTAATCTGACAGCGATAACTCGGTCATATTCTCGGAGTTGGAGTATATATGCGTCGTTAAGTTAACGTTTAGATGCCGGGGACTCTCTACCTTATGCGACAGCGTGTAACCAGTAATCATCCACTGCACACGACGACTGGAGAAGGACTTGTAGTCGCCATGACAGGTGCGTGGCACCGCGTGACCCATTGTCAGAATGATATACTATCAGAAGTAACGGAGGGAACAAAAGCTAGATTCTGTCTTCCAAGTCCCTCGAGGATGGATTTCCATTTCTATAGAATTACAATAATAGCGATAGTGAAATAGAGCAATCTTCGTTTTTTTATCTTAGACCTTTGTCATCTGAATAACGAATTTAAATTCTGTAATATAAAAATTATTTTTATATTAATTTTCAGAAATAATCGATTAAAACATTAATTTTATCAGTAAACAGAATGTTGTTAACATAACTAAGCGTACTAAAGCAAACGTTGAAAAATCTTTAATCAGTACAATATTAAAAAATATCATTAAAGAACATTGTTAGATGTACGAGTATAAAAATAACGTTTTTTAAATAATTAAACAAATTTAATAATTAAACAGAATTTCTATGAAAGTTCAATAAAATAAAGTCACTTTAGTAAAATATAATCACGCGATCTCTTATTATTTATAATTCAAAGTAATTATTAAAAATAATGTAAATTAAAATTAGAATAATATTCACTCCCATAATGATTTAAACTGCATTTACAGTTATGCTACATAAGTTTGCAATCAGTCGGTCGATGAGAAGGGTAATTTCCGTATCGTGATTATCTGCGGCACGCGCATCTAATTATCACACGATAATCAACTATGCCTCGGACGGCGTCGGAGGTGCTGCGAATGCATAGGTACATAATTTCGTCTTCTCCGTCTGAACCAATTAATAAATTTGCACCGGCTGCCTGCTCCCTAGACAAGGTCGGTCCGTCTATTTCCACTAGTGGCCATTGTTTGCAAGACAATGCCAGCTACTTGGCAGTTAGAATACATTGTATTGCTTGAGAGGTGACCACTGAATGTGAGATGTCAGATTAATTAGATTTTGAAATGAGTACATGTTCCTAAATAACTTCTCTTTAATTACCTACAATGCACGGACAACTGGGAATAATTTATTTAAAAAATTGTATTTTTAATAAATTTTAAGTAACTTTTTAAATAATTCTTTTTTTACAACTTATGATTAATTACGATCTATTTCTCTCGCGTGCTCGAGCTATCTTAATTAATATTAATGTTAATAGCTTTCTATTTAAAAATTGTTCGAGTCACGATGCTTTTTCAAATACGTTGAGTTATTTGCATGCAATGCTAATTATCTTACTGTGGTTAAAAATAACATCACATATATTCTGTAAAACGACCTCTTGTTCAGTCTCAAGCTGGGTGGAAAATAAACGACAATGGTACATTCAGTGGAAATGACAGTAATCGAAGAGACCGCAATTGTGCGTCCCTTGTTGTAGAAGTTTCCATTGGCGAGATTTGTAATCTCTATTGGGTCCGAGGATTTCAATTCCAAGGATTTTAGAAGCACAGTCCAAGAACAATAACTGTACAATTTAAAAGGATTAAAGAATCTCAGGATCCAAGAAATCCCCCTACGAAATAAATAAAAATTCTACAGTTAAAAAGCTCCAGATTTCAGAGACTCAAAGATCTAAGATTGCAAAGGTAGAAAAGGAACGTTCAAACGTCCGAAGAGATGGTCGAGAAAATTCTTGAACGAGACACAAACGGAAGACAAATCTAAAGAAAATATCTTTAAATGGAAGCTTAATCTCACCTCGAAATAGCTCTGATCCATAAAGAAACAATTCGAATGCCTGTGATACGCCATGTCTAATAGCTCGAATGTTAATTTATCAAGTTTTTTTATCAAATGATTAGGTTTCACGTTTCTCTTTTTCTCATTAAATGCATTTACTCATCTTCTCTTTTTTACACAAATTAAAATAGTCAGGTCCCTCTTAAAATCAATACAAAAAGATCAAGAAGGTTTTCTGAAAAATTATCCAATATCAATTTATAGGTCTTTTTAATTTTTCATTCATAATTTATGAATTTTACTTATTTATTACAAGTATTAAAAATTGAAATATTTGAATAGTAAAATTTTTAATAAATCGATTGTCTAGGAAATTTTAAAGAATTTTCATCGAATTACATATTGCGACTGAAAAGATGATGCTTTCCAGTTTAACTAACAAGGTACCGATACAGACTCAATAATTCTTTATTAAGAAAGTTCCAAAGGATAACTTCATTAATGTTTGTACCTGTTCGACAGACGCCAAGGGCGATCGAAGTTGAAAATTGTCCATCGTCGCGGCGACACTCGATAGCAACTTGCAGCAACCCAAATCCAATAAAAAAGTACATGCCCTACAATGTCGTTACGAGAGATCAATTTTTATCATTTGACAGACCAAGTTTTGGCATTACACGCGAAATAAAATTGTCAATGCACGTTAACAGCTGTCCGTAAATAAATCTCAAAGTCTCCAGAAATATCAAAATTTCTGAAACTCTTGTAATTTTTATATAATTTCTAAAATGCTTTATATTCGTGAAACATTACATCTATTAATCTTTTTAATACCTTTAAATTGAGTAATTTATAAATCAGATCTCTTATTCCTCGAATCCTTCAATTTGAGTAATTAATGCATTAATTAGCAATTTTTGTGTAGTCAAATAATATTTATGATCGAGAAAAGCAAAACTAAGTAAACTTACTAAACAAAGCTTTTTCTTGAATATTCGTTATTTCTCATTGGGCAGTCTTTGTGGATCCTCATTTCCATCTACGAAGTAAATTGAATCTTCTCGTCTGCACTTCTTTTCATCCTATTTTCACTTTGGCAGAGATAGGAAAGGCAGCGTGAGAAGTGCAATTCGACGTCACCGTTTGTTGCGAAACGTGAATGTGATTTTGCTTCTGCGTTCACGTCTCGTTAGAGCGAAAATCTTTCGACATCGGTCGCACCGAATTATATCCAAAGATCCTTTACAGCGTGCTTGATGGCGACGTGTGACGATAAAGTTGATTGCTCGGCTACTCAACATGTAAATTGTGCATTAGCATCCTCGATCTTTATATATTTCGCTCTAAAAGTGA